GAATGGAACATCCTACAATTAACAGTCAATATATTTCTGCAATACAGGGATGGTATCAATAGATATAGCAAGATATCTATCTAACCAGCACTGAACTAACCACAATCTTCACCAACATGTTCTTACAAAAAATCATTCTTAAAACTTACTACTTTCAATCATATCTGACTGCTGTTAAATTTCACCATGACAACAGCAAGTCAACAGATACAGTCCTATTCAATCCCGTATTCTGTTAAACAAGTAACTCTCAGTCACCTCAAGACACCGAATATTACAACCCTCAACACAACTTCAACCTCACACACCAACATCCACCTACTACAAAAACACATATTTCCTCATTATAAAAGACTTATTTCCCTTCTGACTTGCCTGAAATCAATAATTGAAACTTCGAGGCAAACAGTTTGCAAACAGGGAACATTTGCCATATATGGAATGTAAACAATTGCTCCGTAAGTCAAGAACTGTCGCATGCGGTGTTGTTGGTGTTTGCCAAACTGGTTTCAATTACAAGTTGTGCGTAGGATATTCGTAAAGAGTGCCCAAAGGGACATAACTCTATGGTGTTCGCTTGAAATAATGTTCGGCCGGTAAAGGGCGCTAGAGTCGAATTAATGCAATGTTGCATTAATTCATTCAAACTTTTTAATTTAATATTGTAATCTAAATACAAAATTTTGTGGGGAATAAATTATATTGTAGCTACCCTGAGGGCTGATAGTTAGTATTATTGAGAGAAAAGCATTATTTATTTTTAGAGAAGTGTGGTGTGATACAGTGCCTTTAATGTGATCAATAGTTAAGATCTCAAGAGGCAGTGTCTGTGATGTAAGCTGCAGGTTAGCTACAGAACCCTCCCTCCATTCCACACGCAGTCGATATCCGGACAGCCCGGCTTGAGTGACAGATTCATTATCAGACTAGTTTCCATATTGCGTTACCCTCTCTCGGGGTTCGGAAGCAAGGACACAACTAAAGACTGATATTTTCTTCGGTTAAAAATAATGGACTTTATCGGCGAAATCAGGACAGTCAGCCATTTTCCTTAATTGAAAACGAGTAATTTCTTATCACACATCTCAGGCAGAAAACACTCGACTTGCTTTTTGTTTTATTTGACGGTGAACCAACCTTAAATTCTTATGTTGTTAATTACTCATAAGTAAGACAGTTAGGTATCTTTTAGAGTGAGAATGCCAAAACATAAAGAACAAAGGTCGTATATGACCCCTTTGACCATTGTAATCAATGATACACATCAATGATACACATATCTGATATATTTTAGACAAAAACTGAATATTTAACCTGTTCCTCATGGTACCCAATCTGATCATAAATATCAAAACCCTTCTCTTTCTCGACAAACAGACCTAGTTCACAGACTCTTAGAAATTCTTTAGACATATTCTTGAACCATAACAAACCAAACAAATATCCAAGACTACATTGTTGGAAAGGATTGAGAGCAGACTGCTATTTGCATAGTAATTTCTTGGTGGCTATTACAGTTTGTGCAGGAAACAGAGTTTGATTGACAGGTTCATTATCTGCAGCAGCATTCAGCCAGTCTTGGATGGGGCTCTGTACCAGTGGGCAAGAACGAGGAATTGATTTTTTTAACTTTGAGGTGTGTGGGTTTTTTGTGCTAGTAAATGGGGATGCTGATCTGAGAAAAAAGAGATTCTGATTCCTCACAAAGCACCATTTTTTAATATCAACTTGCGACTCGTTCTAATCTTACAGTTTAACCACTCTATCTTGAAAGTACCTCGGAAAAAGAGAACAATCTTGTCAAGAAACACATCAAACTATCCTTTAGAGAAAAATAGAATGCAGTTTCATGAAAACTAAACATTCTTTTACAAACTTAAAAAACCTTAAAATTTTAAATTCTTGATCACAGTTGATAGAGTGAACAGATTTACAAACGATTTCACGTCCTACAAGCAACATAATTTTTCAATTGATCTACATACCATTGACAACTAAATCCCTGTATTTGACCTCAAATCCAGTGATAAAGTGACAAGCAGCCTAGCTTCACAACTTGTGCTATCTCTGTCAGAGCTAAATATATATTATTTATGTTCTAAACATTGCAGATAAGATCCTTCTTGCCAATAGATCTTGTTCGAGACTGATGGTTTGAAGACATTTTAACAATTTTATCAGATTTTTATCTGTTCCATACCATTAAGAAATTTGAATAAAAACTTCACGATTTTAAACGATAGACAATGTACTGGAAAATTATTCATTCTGAAATCCTGTTCCCCACACCCTTCCTGTAAATATCATTGCTTGATTTGTCAAACAACAGTTGTTTTATACTGGAGGGTTCCTGATGGAATACTGACAACAGACTGGACCTCAAAACAACACTCACGTCTCTAAATATGTTCACAATCTCACAAAGACGAACTGAAGAATGTGTGATCTGACTACATTACTTTACATGTCCATCTAGTACAGACAGCAAATAAGTTAGAAATATATCAATGTTTCTTCTTGTGTGCCAAATACTAAGACAATTGTGTTGTATGGATTCTAAAATTCAGTTTTTAAGTAAATATGCATAAATTAAACATTTTTCAACTAACTAAGCATGTCTAGAAAACTGTACCTGACAAAATGTGTCTACAATCCATTAACTACTTACTAATTATTATCAATGTTATAAAACAATGACATGTGGAAAAACAAAATCATACACATGTCAAAATATCTGGATTCTGGAAAAAGGAATAAACACAAATTGAATGTCATCACTCCTATCCATGTTTCATAAAGCATAGATAAGACATGTTTTACAACTCTGAAAAAGAAAGTATTTTGACACATGTTCAAAAACATACATCAATACGCCACGATGGTCTATGTTCTCACCAGACATAAACATCATGACAAAATCCCCAATTTGCCTCACAATTACCTGGATAACTTACTAATGTCTACCTGTGTGAAACTTGATGCCAGTACCAGACTGACTAATTCCATACAGTATGACTTTCAGTTTCACAATGAATTGTGACATTGAACAGAATTCCTTACAAGTGGATATCAACCTAATAACACCTGATTTCAAATAGAGTCGATTGCACTGACTTCTACATAAAATATACAGCATCACAGAATATTTTTGCTATTCAATATCTGTCTTCTTTCTTTTTCAACTAAAATGATAAATTATGTTGATAAATGGAAACTTAAAAAATAATCTACTGAGGTAATATCTATGCCAAAGCTTTGGGACCACAGAATATTTGTTCTATTTTTTTATCATTATCATTTTTTTAAAAATCATACTCATGAAAAATTATACAAGTAAACAGGTTAAAATTTGAATTAAATTTTCATCAACTTATTTCAGTGCTTTGTTGTCTCTAAGGCTATGTACATTTGAAAGAATTAAATACCATGTGTCATGCCATTTGGAGCAGTGACCTTACGTTATTACGAACATGTCGTGAATCTTGCCAAACAAACGTTACCGGGATTCAAGTTAGTAATTACTCAGTTCTATTATTAACCAGCCAATCAAGCTACAATCATCTTTGAAATTTGGAAGCAGGTCAGAAAAAATCAATTCCACTGCCAAAACGTGCTTATTAGATTTGACAGCTAAGGGTCCAAATTGGTGGAACTCGTTTCTCTAAATTATACACTGCATAAGGCGGGGATATCGCATAAGGCAGAGATATCCCTATCTTTAAGAATCAATATGGTGTTACGATTTTCATGGCAGTAATGTAAACATTATTTTAGGAATGAAAACAGAACAAGCTACCTATGTTATTTACAAGCTAATTTTGCTATTCGGACATTATTCTGATACTGTTTGGATTTGAAAACAGTTTAAAATCCTTTCAATTTTTGTCACCTAAACACTGACATCTGTGAATAAATAGAAATTTCAATTTACTAAGATAGCAGAATGTTGATTTGTTGACTGACTGACTGAGTTTGGTTTTACGCCGCTTTTAGCAATATTCCAGCAACATCACGGCAGGGAACACCAGAAATGGACTTCACACATTGTACCCATGTGGGGATTTGAACCCGGTTGATTTGTTGACATTTCATTTCAAAATTTATAAAGTATCATTTCACAGGCTGATGAATTATGAGAAATGGTCAATTAGGAATGCTGTGATGATTCATAAAAACGTAATGTTCAGCTTTGAAACTAAAACACAAATTAAAACTCAAGAGCACAAATATCCACTTGTGAAGCATTCTATTCAGTAAACAAATTGGGGACGGCAAAAATGAGAAGAAATATGGATTGCTGCATCCCAAATTGATGCTAAAATCTTGATGTGCTAACACAATATCACCGCACTGTCTACCAAGCGTCATAGTGTCAAAAGTAGTGGGCAAAGGTTCTTCTAACTGCTGTAATTGACCATGCATTTAGTTAAACAGAAAACCTACGTATGTATGATGTTACCGATATATTACTAATTACAATTACATTGGAACAGAATAAACTACCGTACTCATTTTACACTTAGTATGCATAAACACAAAATTTGTAATGTTACAACTTGCTTAAAATCAGATCTTACCACATAGTTTCAAAGAAGACAATTCAAGGTGATTTGATGAATGAACTTGTTATAGTACAATTTTTAAGCATGCAGTGTTCAAAACAAATCTCAATAATGTACAGACAAGTTAAGTTAGTTACAGCTTGCCAGGAAACAAATTTTCAGTTATCGCCAACACGTTTACAGCGAAAACAGCTTTAATGAGCAGAAACTAGCTTTTCACATTACAACAACATGCATAATATATTCATACTGAGCTACATGTCTTCCGGGTATGTTGAGATAAATGCTCTAGGCCACGTACGGAAACTAAAAAATGCCAATGAAAGCGTCAAAAACAGCGTAAACTAAATGTACTCAACCCAACCACGTGACTCTAAGTCTACTTGGCCCAAACAGGCAGTTTATTATTGCAGTAGCCATCACGATCATAGCACCAACCTGAGATACGGTAATGCCACACTTCCGCGCCAGCTCTTCTTTTGCTTCTTCTGAAGGGTATGGGTTACTGAGGTGCGAGTAGAAATATTCATTCAGTATCTCTGTTGCCTGCTTGCTGAAGTTACGCCTCTTTCTTCTGAAAACCATATATGAAACTTTCATTAAGAAACAAACTTGGGTCAAGATCAGGTCAAAACAATAGCAAAGTTATTAAAATAATATAACCAAGTTTGTATATTTTCACCCATTTTACATTCGCATTTCATTATTTTAGCAGTAAGTCCACATTCAAAATCAGGTAAACGTCATACAGGTGAAGGTCATACAGGTGAAGGTCATACAGGTGAAGTTCACACAGAAGGACTCTTGGCATTGTTGTCAGTAATACAAGTGCATTTCTCATAGCACATGATCTGTTAACTCAAGTATTTTATCCAAAACTTGAATCTTAGTTTGAGAATAAATTACCACAAATTAGCTGTATAATGCAGAAAAAATGTTTTCTAAGATTTTAAAGTAGATCTCTTCTTGGAATGTTCCATACGATTTCTTCAGGCACCTTCCCACCCCTTTTCCGGTTTTATCACCAAAGCATGCATACTTCTCGCACAATCTAACCTCAAATTAAACTCAAAGTATGCATAATTCATCATAATTGCCTTCACCTGACATAGCTTATCACAGTACCAACAAATCTTTCTTTAAGTCTAACACGACAACTCTGCCATGTGGAACTATCTCTGCTGTGTCCTATGAATATTTTAATAAGTTCTACACGACAAGGCATGGTTGTTATTTTTTAAGATACCAGCTGTGCCGGTTTTTCATATAAACAAACATAAGATAACATACTGAACATGTGAACCACACATTTTAACTTGGTTTCAAAGCAATTACTTCAAAAACATCTGAACTTAACACTACATCATAAACTTCATCATTGTCAGAAGCTGAAGCATGATCATTCAGATGCTACTTTCACAGTTCCCCTTCATAAAATATTTAAACAAATGAAATATATTCTACTTCGAATGGTGAACAGCATGTGTATAGCCTGTTTATGTATAGTACATTTGCCTATATTTGTCTGGAATTTGTGCTGGTAGATATACATTTATCCAAAGATGCAAAACTGTAGAAATCAAAAGCTTTGTAAGGTCTAAAGTTAACCAGGTAATGACATACTGTATCATGCAACTACTTTTAAGATTGTGCTAAAATTGGACTGGATAGAATGATAGTAAAATTCTATTCACATTTTTACTGATATTTTACATACATGGTGTCTATAAAACCTGATTATGCTGCTTTACTGGACAATAAAACATTTTACTTGAAGTACAGAAAACCTGAGGAAAATTTAAATCTGAAATCATAGTGAGTGAGTGAGTGAGTTTAGTTTTACGCCGCACTCAGCAATATTCCAGCTATATGGCAGAGGTCTGTAAATAATCAAGTCTGGACCAGACAAGCCAGTGATCAATAGCATGAGCATCGATCTACGCAATTGGGAACCGATGACATGTGTCAACCAAGTCAGCGAGCCTGACCAACTGATCCCGTTAGTCGCCTCTTACGACAAGCATGGGTTACGGACGATCAATATTCTAACCCGGATCTTAACGGGTTCTGAAATCAAAAATAACTTGAAGACTGACTGAGTTTGGTTTTACGCCGCTTTTAGCAATATTCCAGCAACATCACGGCGGGAAATAACGCGAAGAGACTTACCTGGCATCTAGGAACCGTGATCTGAGGATCATCACAGCTTCACATGTACTCTGTTTCAGTTGCATTTCAATCGCTGAGAACTTCTTACGGATAATGCTGACCATTCTTTCAATTTCCTTCGGCGCTATCGGTCGCGTTCGACTTTGTTCCCGTAACAAGTTGACCACATGTGTTGTGAATTCGTTACAAGCCTAGTAAAACAAAGACACATTTTATCAGTAAGGATTCATAAAATCAAAAGAATTAAATAATCATTGCTTTGACAAATTAAATAATAAGAATTGCTTTGAAGAAACTTCCAACCTGGAAATAACGTCAAATTATTTAGACAGATCGTCCATTATTAATGGAGCATTGGACGCGAGTGACTGTGAACTCACCTGTTCATATTTCTCTAACTCTGTGTGATATATCTGTCTGATCTGGGCCAATTTGGCCCTGTAATCTGAATGTTCAATGGCGCTGTCTGGCTGGCCCCCTGATGCAGCAGCTGTTGCGCTGGCCGCTGCTGACGACCCACCCCCCTTCTCTGGTCCTGCCACCCCCTCAGCTATCAGCATATTGTCCAGTCTCATGAGCTGGGGATCTGGGGGCTCCTCCTCCTGTGTATTGCGAATACTCAGTACTGCAAGAAATCAGGTAAAACATTAGTGAAGAACATTAACTTAACAAACACTTAAAACTTCATATCAAATACATTAATTGTTATCAGATGTTATTCCAATCCTGGAAACTCTTGATACAATAAAAGAAAAGAATGTTTGAAATAAATCAAGAGTGAGTGAGTGAGAGTGTGAGTGAGTGAGTGAGTGGGTGTCAGTGAGTGAGTGAGCGAGCGAGGTGGATTTTATGCTACAATATTATGGCAGAGGTCACCTGAAATAGGATTCACATATGCTACTCATGAGAAAACTCAAAAATGGGCCTTAAATTACCTCTATGCCCCTAATTCAAGCATGTAACCAGCTAGATAGACTTGCAAATTTTACATAGCAATGTATGAAATAAAGCATGAAATTCAAGGGGTCCATGTCATTACTGTAATGCAGCAGGTGTAAGATTCAGGGTCCCTTCATTATGCTGACCGCAATGATTCCAGAACCCTTAGCACTGAACACTGCATTCTGTTACTGTCACTGACTCATGTCCTATTTTCACAAATCTGGGCCCATATTCTTGAAACGTTCGTAGCCCTAAGAATTCTTAACTTCGATCGTAGCCAATGTGTTAAGAATGGGCTTAAGAAGTTCGTAGGGCTACGACCGTTTCGAGAATAGCTAGCCTGGACCGTGTACCATCTTTGAAACAGTGTCTTCCTCATTCAGAAACTACATCATAAAACCATGAAATAATAACATGTGATAATTACCATGGTAACTGTGTACATTCCTATGCAATTTTTTTGAGAACAGGCCAAACACCACTGTGCACAAAACAGCTGGCCCGATATTATTTCTGCAAGCCCTGGGCCAAAAGGCCAGTAAATAAACCATGCCACCGTTACTAGAACCCTTTTCATGACCATTAGCGACAGTTCCCAGGCACAAACTTCTGTTTTACGCTTGACAAACCCACCTAAGTTTAGTTTGATATGGAGACTTTGACATACCATCTTATGGTATAAAACACACGTGTGAGCCAGCAATAATACCCACAGCCATTACCAACTGACAGGTATCAAAACTCATAAACTTTATCTGACGATAGCGCCACCAACTCCCATCTTTTTCTACACAGCGCCATATACCATGATGCAGTAACTGGAAATAGATATTGCAAATCTGCTGCACTTTATGGCTAATCCTATTGCATAATTGTGCTGCTTAGCAGCAAAGAAAATACACAGCGATGGAGGTTATCTGCCTCCGCAACAAAATGTGTATATAATTATCCTCTGACAGGCTAAGTATAGCAATGCTGTCTGTATAGACTGTTATTTGATCTACATCAAATCATGCCCCCCTAAAAACGATGTCATTAATTCCACATTAGATAAACATGTTCTCTGTAATTATCAGCTATCGTTGTAATTACCATGGCGATGATTAAGCTCATTTTCACTCGCCTGGATGGAGAGTAATTTTGTGTTGCAGTAAATTAGAAGCAAGAAAACGAAGGGTTTTTTTTCAAGGAGGTACAAAAGGTGTTTCTGACACTATCTCTAAAACAGGAAATGCCATGAAAATCTTTTGATCTTTTGGGCTAAATTTAACCATTAATTTACATGATTTTATCAGCTTTTCGGAATTAATGGCTTCCTCAACAGTTCTTATGCAACCCTATCATGTTTAACTGTTTTCTTTGTTCAAAGTGTCATACCTTTCCAGTTACAATTTAGCCCTTTATCTCATGTCAGGTTTAAACTTGGTAATTGTCAACACATTTCTTTACTTATTATAATATTTACACCAATTATGTCTGAGATCATTTTTGTGCACAATTATTCTCTGCAACTTGGGACAAGATCATAAACAACTCTGTATATTCCTAGCTGTTTTCCACCAAGTGATGGTAGTGCTACGTTCCCAAAACCTTAAAAGACTCACCAATGCCTCTCTGTACATCGACCCAACAACTAAATTCATTATATAGAACAAACTTTATGGATAACAACTTCTTTTTATTCGTGAGTGCGACGTTTCGATACAGATTCTTGTACCGTTGTCAAGCTTCGTGAGTGCGACGTTGTGATACAAGCTTGACAACGGTGAAAGAATCTGTATCGAAACGTCGCACTCACGAATAAAAAGAAGTTGTTATCCATAAAGTTTGTTCCATATTGTACTTCCCAACTTCTAAAATGCCACTCAAAGAAACTAAATTCATACAATTTTAAAATATAAACATACAATACTTTCAAAAGCACTTACATTATCAAAATATATATTTCGCTCTAACATTTATTTTTTCTCTCAGAATGATTTATTAACATAAAATAATATATTTCAATAGCAATTGATCTCACAAACTCTGAAATAACAAATGCAATGATGTATTTCAACTGCACCACGGAGGCATTCCACAATTTCAGGTCGGTAGACCATACTGAAGTTTCATATCTCTGTCTGCAAAAATCCATCTATCAATTCTGTCTAACCTGTCTATGACTTGACAGTTATGTCTTTTGGTGAATTCTGTCAATCTGTAAGTCTGTCTATGTTGAGTTAATTTAGCCTTTAACATCACCTAACTGATAAAACTATACCAAGAGGAGACATTTACCTAGCAACAAATATCATCATCTAGTTGCATCTAAAGTAACAAACACAAAGAAGAGAAATGAACCCAGCAACCATTCTCTTGGCACCAGAATAAGTGAAATGAATAAAAGAAGATTTAAGAACAATAAACTTATTTTGACAAGAAGAGATTCAAATGTTTGTTTATATAAAAATGTTAAGTAAAGCAATTACAACATGAAGACTACAGGCCAACTTCACTGATGTCAGAACATTTTCTATTGCACTCTTGACCAGAAAAAATCTGGACTTCAACTCTCCACAGTCACGACAATAAACCGAAAAACAAAACTAATCAGATTTCTAAATCTGTCATGTATTTTTGTAAATTTGCCATTTATCTGCATGTGAATTTTAAATCAACTTTTCAAAGCAATAGCTGCCAAAATGTCACATATGAGCATATATGTCCCAAAATGGCACAAATGTCCATCATAATCCAAGACTGGTAAATGTTGGTTATGTTGGGGAACTCTTTCATTAGTTAATTAGTTTCAATACTGATGTTACGCCCATGGCTCTTGCTGACACACTTAATACACATTTGATGCTCATTCTGAATTTGCTTAGAATGTAAATTGCTATTACATCACACTAATTGCTGATTTCCAATCAGACTGAGATTGATTGCACTCCCCTGGAGCTAAAGTCCGGTCACATGTGTTACTCTATCTCTGGTGATCTCATCAAAATTAACGATATGATATCATTGTCAATTTCAGACCAGCTGTCATTCGACAAATCTACATGCAACAGGTTCAGGTGAAATAAACGTAATTTGTGCTTTTTCTACTCCTTTAAAATTGAAATACCCACAACATGCCATTACGTCAAAATGTAATCACAGCCACAATTTAAAAATCTCTCATAATAATTACTGAAATGACAAAAAAAAGACAGATTTGTGGAGATTTTTCTGTACTACAAGCTGTTTCCTGAAATCCATGTCGCCATGTCAACAACGTCACCAAAGAGAAATCCACATCCAGATAAATCCCCACTGTCATGTAGATTTCACTATAGATCCTGCTCATTTCAATAACACATTTAGATTCAAGAGCTCACTGTGAGGCGGCCTATCTTATCATTTCAGGGCCACACACATCATTGACAGGTCTTGGGATGGGCGAGAAGGGGAGCTCAAATTACGCATAATAATCCCTGGCAGATAATTTTCATCCTTGCTGTATCTCGAGCTATCGGGTGACCCCTTAACTTGCCACTGAATTAAAAATCAATAGGCAGAAAAACGAGTAGATCGTGTGATATTTTGTCGGCTCTTATGCTATATTTACGCTCAGTCATAGAACCCCAACGGTGAAAAAATATCTCATTTAATACTAAGCTACAATGGGCTAATGTGATCTGTGAACACACCTAATATCCATAAAATCCTTTTCGTATCATATTAACCTTTGACAGCGCTTGCCTATCAATTACCTCCAAGTGTGTTGGAGGACATAAAGCGTTGATTTTAGATTCTTTCAAAATGATAAATCTCATAGTAATATCATAAGCCATTGTCCGTCCTCTGCGTTCAAATTTCAAGTCTTATACACACATTCAAACAAAAGACAGAAAAAAACATCCATCACATAATTTCAAACTTTTTGTGCCCAGATTCACATATTTTCAAAGCAAAGTGCACACAAGACCAAGGAAACTAACCATTTGGTATACAAGTCTGGTAAACCAGTATATATCAATGGTTGTAACACTTACTGGGTAATACCTAGAAACATATGTTTTCACTACTGGGTTATAGGACAAATAGTTTATTTGCTTATTAGTGTAGCCTCGACTGTTGCCATGGTAAGATCCCACGAGACACACCAACTCAGGCTAGTCCCCCTAGCTTCATATATGCCCAAATGAGACTATTTTCAGCTTGATTTACAACTTGAAACAGTGATTGCATATTATGCCTCTTATCGGAGAGACTCCTTATACCAGCCAGGTCTCCATGTCGGCCCAGATCTCGGGTCATGTAGGTTATCTTGGGTAATCACTACACTGACGTTGCCATTATTTCAAACGGCTAGGTACACATGAAAAATAGAACACATGGAAACCCTGCTCCTAAATTTCACGAAACAATACACTGCAGTACGTCCTGAGTTAAGGTTGTGTATCTCGCTAAAAAAGTTGGGTTTTAGCGCGGATAAAAACTTGCTGACTAACATGCAGCGCTCGTTAAGGAAACGAAGCTGTTGACCCGTACATGACTTAATATGTAACGGAAAACTTAACGATGGTATTAGATTAATGTTTCTACTTGACGGAATGTTAACAATCTATCATTAATTGTCAGACACAACATTCAATCTGTCATAATGAGGCCATATTGTGATTTAGTTGGTGCTTATATGAAAACAATTTGATGATA